AGGTGCGTGCGACCATGCCTGGTTAATTTTTCTTTTTTTTTCACTTATTGTAGAGACACGGTCTTGCCAAGTTGTCCAGGCAGGTTTTGTAGCCGTGGGCTCAGGCAATCCACTCGCCTTGGCATCCCAAAGTGCCAGGATTACAGGCTGAGCCACCGAGCCTGAACTCTTAGGAGTTTTATAAGCATTAAGTGATATAATCCATGCAAGATGCTTACAACATTGTTTGACAGATTTTAAGTGCTCAATAAGTTTTAGCTGGCTTTATAGGTAGAGAACCAAAGTGAAAAGATTCATAAGATTCTTAAGAAATTAGCTGGAAATTCATACACTCCTGAAACTATGGAAGAAGAAAACAGACTTTCCTATATTTTTTGGTGTGAGTTCTGTGAAAATGAAATTTAAAAGTTCAAAGTAGGCACAAAGTGTGATTAAGATAAAGGTCCAGCCGGGCTCCGTGGCTCAGCCTGAAATCCCATGCTTTGGGAGGCTGAGATGAGTGGATTGCCTGAGCCTGTGGGTTCAAGACCCACCTGGGCAACTTGGTGTGACCTCATCTCTACAATAAATCAAAAAAATTAGCCAGGTGTGGTAGCACGCGCCTGTGGTAGTTCCAGCTACTTGGAAGGCTGAGGTGGAAGGATCACCAGAGACCCAGCAGGTTGAGGCTGCGGTGGCCGGGAGCAGCCACTGCACTCCAGTCTGGGCAACAGAACATAACAAAACAAAACAAAACAAAAAAGATAAAGGTCCAGTAGAGAGAAGGTAGTGTACTCAAATGGTATATAAAAGCAACAACCCAGGTGGGTGTGGTGGGTCATGCCTGTAATCCCAGTACTTTGGGAGGCTGAGGCGAGAGAATTTCCTGAGCCCAGGGGTTCAAGACCAGACTGGGCAACTTGGCAAGACATTGTCTCTACAATAAATCAAAAAATTAGCTGAGAGTGGTGGTGTGCACCTGTAGTTCCAGCTACTTGGAAGGCTGAGGTAAAAGGATCACTTGAGCCCAGCAGTCAGGGCTGCAGTGGACGTGAGCACGCCACTGCATTCCAGCCTGGGTGACAGAGTGAGACTCTGACTCAAAAAAATTTTAAAAATAAAAATAAAAGCAACAAACCAAGAAAATAAATAAGTTCCAAGATATTACACGTGGTACCCTGGCAGCTCTGAACCTATCAGTGTGACAGCAGTCTTTGCCCACTGAGAACAGGGGAAATTTCTCTTTAAAGTGTCAGTAAATTGAGCCGGGTGTGGTAGCTTATACCTGTAATCCCAGCACTTTGGGAGGCGGAGGCGAGAGGATTGCCTGAGCTCAGGGGTTTGAGACCAGCCTGAGCAACATGGCGAGACCTCGTCTCTACAAGAAATAAAAAAGTCAGCCAGGCATGGTGGCACTTGCCTGTGGTTCCAGCTACTTGGAAGATTGAGGCAGAAGATCACTTGAGCCCAGTAGGTGGAGGCTGTGGTGGCTGTGAGTGTGCCACCAAACTCCAGCGTGGGCAACAGAGTGAGACTCCAACTCAAAAATAAAAAAATAAAGTGCCAGTAAACATGTTGGGGGGGGAGGGGATGGGATTAACAGTAGCAAATATCTGTCTGGGGAAGGGGAAACACCTCTTATCAACAGGGTGCCTGATGAAACGTAATTGTACACCTAACCCTTAACTGTACCCCACAAAACCATAATAAAAAATATTGATTTAAAAAAAAAGTTAGAAGTTTTCCTGAGTGTCTACTACATGCTAAACACTCTGCCATGACCGTGTGCAGTGTAAATATGACTAGTGGTCTTTATTAGCTGGGTGCAGTGGTGCATGCCTATAGTCCCAGCTAATTGGGAGGCCAAGGCTACAAGATTGCTTGAGTACAGGAATTTGACAACATAGTGAGACTCCATCTCAAAAAAAGAAAAAGAAAAGAAAAAAGAGGCATTCCAATGCTTAATGTACTTTTTCATCTCTCATCATATGCTGCATATAAGATAACCCTTGTCCCCATGTTCACTTAAGAGTAACACTTAAGCCTGGGCTCGGTGACTCAGCCTGTAATTCCAGCACTTTGAGAGGACAAGAAGAGTGGATTGCCTGAGCCCCGGTGTTTGAGACCAGCCCAGGCAACTTGGTGAGACCTGTTTCTACAATAAATCAAAAAATTAGCCAGGTGTGGTAGCATGCACCTGTAGTTCTGGCTACTTGAAAGGCTGAGGCAGAAGGATCGCTGGAGCCCACCAGGTCAACGCTGGGACGGCTGTGAGTGTGTCACTGCACTCCAGCCTGGGTGATGGAGTGAGACTCCAACTCAAAAAAAAAAAAAAAAAAAACGCCGGGCTCAGTGGCTCAGCCTGTAATCCCGCGCCTTTGGGAGGCTGAGATGAGTGGACTGCCTGAGCCCGCAGGTTCAAGACCCGCCTGGGCAGCAAGACCTCATCTCTACAATAAATAAAAAAAACAATCAGCCGGGTGTGGTAGCGCATGTTTGTAATTCCGGCTACTTGTAAGGCTGAGGTGGAAAGATTGCGGGAGCCCAGCAGGTCAAGGCTGCGGTGGCCGGGAGCGGCCACTGCACTTCAGTCTGGGCGACAGAGTGAGACTCCAACTCAAAACAAAACAAAATAAAAGAGTAGCACTTTAAAAAACAAAGTAGGTAAATGCAGTGGCTCACACCTGTAATTTTAGCACTTTGGGAAGCAAAGGTGGGAGGCTTGAGCCCATTATTTCGAGAACAGCCTCGACAACATAGTGAGATGTCGTCTTTACAATAGACCAAAAAATTTATCCAGGTGACGTGGTGCATGCCTGTAGTCCCAGCTAATTGAGAGGCTGAGGTGAGAGAATTACTGGAGTCCAGGGAGTTGAGGCTGTGGCGAGCAGTGATCATGTCCCTGCACTCCAGCTCTGTTGACAGCGTGAGACTCTGACTCAAAACAAAAACAAAAACAAAAAACTAAGCTGCCAGGCCCAAGGGTTTTATCACTTAACTATATTCCTCACAGCTGTACCCTCACGTGATTCACACTGCTTGCTATTGAATGGATTATTATCCTACTCATATGATATGGCTCCTATGATAAGTCAGGCTTTTCAATGGAACTGGGGCAGATCTGGGAATTCCTACAAGAACTGTGTAAATGCACTCTCCACTATCATTTTCATACAGATATCATGGTGATAATCACCAATGGCAAAAACATTTTACGTTAGGTTATTTGTATAGTATTTTATAGTGTATTTTCATATACATGACCTAATCCTCACGATAGATATTTCTGCTGCTATTGTTATTTTCATCATTTTACAGATGATAAAAATTAAGACTCAACTGTATGGATGTACAATATTTAACCAGTTCTGTAAAGTACTGATGAGTGTTTTAGTTGTATTTAAGAGGATTGTTTTTGTAGGGTTGTTTCTGTTGTTGCTATTGTTTGCATTGCAAATTCTTGTGGGCAATTTCATTTTGCATATGTATGAACCTCTAAGATAAATTCTTGGGAGATTCTTAACTATTTTTAGTACAGGCAGCTACCAAATTAAAAAAAAAAAGTTAAAAGTAGAAGTGGAAGACCTGGGTTAAATGTTATCAAATAATGTTTGTTTTTGGTTTTTTTTGAGTTGGAGTCTCTGTTGCCCAGACTGGAGTGCAGTGGCCGCTCCCGGCCACCACAGCCTCGACCTGCTGGGTTCCGGCCATCCTTCCGCCTCAGTCTTCCAATTATCTGGAACTACAGGTGCGTTACCACGCCCGGCTAATTTTTTGATTTATTGTAGAGATGAGGTCTCACCAACTTGCCCAGCCGGGTCTCGAACCGCGGGCTCAGGCAATTCACTCACCTTACTCCCAAGGCGTGGGATTACAGGCTGAGCCACTGAGCCCAGCTTTTTTTTTTTTTTTTGATTGGAGTCTCACTCTGTCCCCCAGACTGGAGTGCAGTGGCCGCTCCCAGCCACCGCAGCCTCGACCCGCTGGGTTCTGGCGATTCTTCCGCCTCAGCCTTCCAAGTAGCTGGAACTACAGGCATGTGCTACCACGCCTGGCTAATTTTGGATTTATTGTAGAAATAAGGTCTCACCAAGTTGCCCAGGCAGGTCTCCAACCTGTGGGCTCAGGCAATCCACTCACCTCGGCCTCCCAAAGTGCTGGGATTACAGGCTGAGCCACTGAGCCCGGCCTGTTTTTAAATTTTAATAAATGCCTTTAAATATTTAATAAATGCCTTTTAAAAGATTAAAGTTGAAGCCGGGCTCGGTGGCTCAGGCTGTAATTCCGCGCTTTGGGAGGCTGAAGTGAGTGGATTGCCTGATCCCGCGGGCTCGAGACCCGCCTGGGAAACTTGGCTTGGCGAGACCTCATCTCTACAATAAATCAAAAATTAGCCGGGCGTGGTAGCGTGCGCCTGTAGTTCCAGCTACTTGGAAGGCTGAGGTGGAAGGATCACTGAAGCCCAGTAGGTGGAGGCTGCAGTGTCCGGGAGTGGCCACTGCATTCCAGTCTGGGCGACAGAGTGAGATTCCAACTCAAAAAAAAACCAAAATAACAAAAACAATAAAAGATTAAAGTTGAGAAGTTCTCACCTGAGGTCTCATAAAAAAGTGACAGAACTGAGACTTAGATATACAGACTGCCCAATTTCACTCTACTCTGCTACATAATTTTTCTTTCTTTCTTTTTTTGAGTTGGAGTCTCATTCGGTCACCCAGGCTGGAGGGCAGTCGCACGCTCCCAGCCACCGCAGCCTCGATCTGCTGGACTCAGGCGATCCTTTTGCTTCAGCTTTCCAAGTTGCTGGAACTACAGGCCTGCGCCCCCATGTCCAGCTAATTTTTAAAAATTTATTGTAGAGATGAGGTCTCGCCAAATTGCCCAGGCTGGTCTCAAATCTCTGGGCTCAGGCAATCCTCTCACCTTGGCCTCCCAGAGTGCTGGGATTATAGGCATGAGCCACCGCACCCAGCATAATTTTTCTATACCTACAAAATGAAAATTTGCACCTGTAAACTTACCAAGAAGCCAGCTATCTTTGTGCATCCCGGCTTCAAAATGACTACTGAGAGAAGACTGCTGCAGCACAGCATAATCCTGTAGGCTGCCTGGCCAGTGTGTCTCCACAGTCATTAGGGCCCCTCTGATGTCACACACCATCAGGCAGTTTAAAGAATGTAGACCCTTGCGGTTCACATAGGACAGGTCTTCAGCATTTGGTGCCTTGATTGCCACATGGATACAGTCAACCACCCCCATCACCCCTGGCATCCCTGCCAACCCATAGAATTCATCCTTTAGAACCTGCATGGAGGCTTCATCAGCTGGAAAGTGAATAAACTGGGGTGCCCTTTCCACAAGTGCTTCAGTGACATTGGCAACACATCGACTCATAGAGGCCTGACTGATTCCAATAGCATCTCCCATCCGAGTCTGGAAGGAACCTGAAGTATAAAATCCCAGTGCTGCAAGGATCTGTGTTTCTGGGCTAATAGCCCTGGATCGCTGAGTAGGTCTAGAAAGACTCGCCCCTAGGAGCTCCACCAAGTAATAAATGAACTGTCGAGGAAACCCATACATAGACATCAAGTATTCATCAGTCACATCATCCAGTTTAAAACGGTCCAATGTCCGGTGACCTCGGCCATATAGCAAGAGATCACAGTCGAGTACTGTTATTGGTATAGCCATGGTAAATGTGAATGCTGTCCCTCCTCTCTGCTACATTTTCTGAATTCTTCCCAATGAAGTTGTTATTCTTTCAAGAAGGTATTTAAGAACGTATCAGAATTCAGCAGTTAACCATCTGGCATTTATAATCTTCTCTCTGCAGAAGTTAAAAGAAAAAACATTAGACACCTACCAAAGACTTTAAAGTGCCTCAAAGGCCACAACAGCTCCTTTTCTGCAAATTTCCCTTTTGTTGAGACAAAAGGTGTTGTATTTGTAACTTTGGGATCTTCTCCACTAACTCATGACTGTACGACAAGCTTGCTCTGGTCTGAAGGATAATGGGAATTCAATCTTGATGGTTCCTTTAATAGGTGGCATTCCAACTGAGAACAGCAAAAGATTAATGGAGGTGATGGTGTAATTATTTACAAGGTAAAAAGGTCTATTCCTAACTCCACAGACCACGAAGCGGGTGACATAAGTCATAAATATCCTGAGTAAGGATTAGTCACGGGTTTCATTATCCAGAGCCCTCTGGTTCCACCTGATAAGTACCGGACAGATGTGGGGGTGCTCAAACCAGTCTAACAAGAAAGGAGGGGGACAAAAAAAATAGTCCACGATCCCGTCTGGTGGGCGTACTCTGTGTACTGTAATGACAGGCTTTCCCCTCCGCCTCACACCTCCAAATCGTGAGGCTGAGGGCTAGGAAGTAGGGAAGATCAGACAGGTTCGAAGTAGGGAGCTAGAGGCTGGCAGAGCCACGTCTCGGAGGCGACTCCGCAACTTTTTAAAGGCGCCTTAAAAATGGATAGCGAAGTCTGACTGCGCCGGCCACTCAAAGTCAGCCAAGGCCCGCCACCCCCCCCT